CCAAAATAGTTTTGGTAAGTATTGAGGCTCCTACATTCGGGTCCAGGGCGGAAGATTACAGCTTCAACTTCGAAGGACTCGGATCTACAAGTCGAAGGTCTAACGAGTCGAGGAAAGGGGTGCTTTGACTTTAGGTGTCCGGACATGGATTGACGGTTACATGCTCAGGGATGTTGACAGTTGCAGTTTCATCGTACACTGGCTTTTGTCAAGTGCGTGCTTACCCTGTAACATTCAACCCTCCGAAGTGTTCAGGTGAGACCAGCTGGGGCCTAGACCCCAGTAACCCTGAACATCTAGAACCCCTACGAAGCCTTAAAGTGGAAAACTTGCGCTTGGCCTGCAGACGGAGGATCTCACATGCAAGGTGCCGATCCAAGCCTGGACACAGGGGGACGCTAAGAAGCGCCTTTCGGACTTAGGGGTGACCCGAGCAGTCCTCTGTGACTGTGCCCGACAGCCGATAATATCTCCTAGATACAGGGTTTAGGGTTTAGGGTTTTGGGTTTAGGGTTGGCAGGGAAGCACCCATGGGAAAGGCACAAGATTGCATGTTGAAACCACAAAAGCCTGATTAAAGCGCAAGACCGTGTCCGTTTGCCGCCCAACCTCGCAAAGCCCTAACCCCTTTAAACCCCCAAGACTGAAGCCCCAATGCGAAACCCCACGACGGAATGCTGTACAACCCATACAGTTTCCGTTATTGTAAGTGGCCCGTATAAAAGCCCGGCAACGCCATTCTAAAACCCTTATTAAAATGCCAAACGAAACCTTGCAAAGCTCTAGAAGACCCACGAAGCCCTTACAAGGAAAGAGGTTGTAGCTATGTCATAGAATCCAGCTCACCCTCTGCGCCCAGCAGCAGAGGCCACAATGGTCTTTCCCATGCCCTCCCCACCGTCGGTGATACGCATCCTTGAGCTTTCTGAGGGATTAATTAAGAATCCTTTGGTATCCATAGGCTTTGGGGTTCACATAGCTGTAAGGTTCATTTCAGGGATCTAAAAGGGTGCTTTAAGACTATAACTGATCTATACGGCTCCAGTGACGGACTGCAATCAGGTAGGGGATCCTTTTAACTTATAAAGGATCTATGAGCCAAACCATCAGGACTACGATACGGTTCGCCATAAGGTTTCCATAAAGGATCTGTAAGGCCTGGGCCTTGGGATTGGGCTCAGGGTTGGGCTGTCGGATTCAGGGTTCCGGGTTTAGAGTCCTAGTGGGTATCGGGTGTAGAGTCTAGTTCTTTGGTATGCTGGCAACACAAATAGACTGCATTATACCTCCCAAAGCCTACGAACCCAAAGTTCCCAAAGAATCCGAAACCCCTGAATAGGTTGATTCCCTTTTCGGGTGCTTCTCATTGGGTCTTTCAAGATCCAAACAAGGGGAAAAGGGCTTAGGGTCTAAACCCTAAAGCCCTGAACCCAAAACCGAAATCCTGAAGCCCCAAGCCAATCAAACAACAGCTCACGAAGGAAAGCAACCTGCTCTTCGAAGTCTCGAAGGCAATTGTGCAAAGCCGTCTCCTCAAGAGCGAATGGTGGAGAGAATTTCGGGCGTTAGGGTTTCGGTGATCTTGAACTTATGGTTCCTTGGGGTATAGGCACCCTGAACCCTGAACTTTTCGGCTTTGGGGATTTTGGGACGTAGGGCTTTGGGAAGAGGGTGGGGTTTAGCCCAAGGCGACATGGTTGTGTCTGTTCTGAGTGCTTCTATTGATACATAACCATCGTCTTCAGCATCACCACGACCCGCTGCATCATTAGGGGCCACGAGTATGGCGGTTCTTGTGGCACGAGCTGCCGACAGCCCTTAGAAGGGTATTCGGTGCTGTTTCAATGCAGATATCAACTCTACGCTTCGTGGTTTTGTTTGCTTGGGGTGAATTTCAAAAACCCTTCGTAGCAGTAGCAGTAGTAGCAGTGGCAGCAGCAGTAGGAGGAGAGGCGCAGTACGAGTAGTAAGGGTAGTAGAGAAGTAGGAGTAGTAGAGGGAGCAGGAGCAGCAGTAACAAAAAGCATTTGCAGTAGCAGGAGCCGGACGAGCAGTAGTAGTAGTAGTAGTAG